CAGCCCAGCTCAGCCCAGCCAGCTCAGCTCATATCAACCCAGGTCAGCTCAGCTGAGCTCAGCACAGCTTAGCCCAGTCCAGCCCAATTCAGCCCAACTCAGCCCAGGTCAGGTCAGCTCAGCACAGCTTAGCCCAGTCCAGCCTAGCTCAGCCCAGCCCAGCTCAGCCCAGCTCAGCCCAGCTCAGCCCATTTCAGCCCAGCTCATCCTAGCCCAGCTCATCCTAGCCCAGACCAGTTCAGCTCAGGTCAGGGCAGCTCAGCCTATCTCAGCTCAGTTCAGTGCAGTTCCCAGCCCAGTCCAGCTCAGCCCAGCTCAGCCCAGCTCAGCCCAGCTCAGCCCTGCTCAACCCAGCTCAGACCAGTTCAGCCCAACCCAGCCCAGCTCAGCTCAGCTCAACCTGGCTCAGCCCCATCCAGCCCAGCTCAGTCCAGTGTAGCCCAACCAAATTCAGCTCAGTCCAGTTTAGCCCAATTCAGCCAAGCTGAACCCAGCTCAGCTCAGCCCAGCCCAACCTAACTAAGCCAGTTCAGCCCAGCTCAGTTCAGTGCAGTTCAACCCAGCCCAACACAGCCCAGCCCAGCTCAGTCTAGTATAGTCAAGCCAAGTTCAGCTAAGCCCCGCTCAGCCCAATTCACCCCAGCCCAGCCCAGCCCGGCCCAGCCCAACTCAACCCAAATCAGTCTATGGCAGCTAAGCTCAGCTCAGCCCAGTTTGGCCCAGCCCAGTTCAGCTCAATCCAGTGTAGCCCAGCCAAATTCAGCTCACCCCAGTTTAGTCCAGTATAACCCAGCCCAGTCCAGCCTAGGTCAGTCCAGGCAGATGGGCTGGGTCTACCCAGTTCAGCTCTTCTAAATGCTCTTGGCTCAACTCAGCCCTTTGAGCCTCACTGAGTCCTTGTAGGTCATCCCTTCTTTGGGCTCTGGCCTGTTGCTGTACCATTCAGCACAGGACAGCTCCCTGCTGCCATGCAGTATCTTAGTGATATCCTTCTTCTGGCACTTGGACCAGCTCAGCCTCCTACTACCCTGCCTTCCTGAGCTTTGTATGGCCGAGACCTGAACACCTGAGATTCACAGGCCCAGTCTCCAAGTTGTCCTCAGGCTGCTCTTATCTACCTGTGCCTCATCAAGGGAAAGGACTGAAGGCCACACACTGACTCGGTGCTCAGTCCATTCTGGGTGGGTGACACAGTCACCTCCTCACCGGGCCCCATCCCCTCATCTTCGTGCCTGGTGTGGGGTCCCTGGCTGAGATACCTGAGGTTCTCTGCTGGCTTCCTGTGGCCAGGACAGCTGTCCCCATCTGCAGTCATCTGTGTGGGCCCTTGATGGCTCTAGGCAACATGATCTTAGTTACCATTATTGTTATTTTTATGCCCAGGTGATGCCTGGGCAGGGAGCTCTGCCTCAGTGCCCTCAGCTAAACGTGGGGTGGGAACCCCCAGGCTCTGTAGAACTGGAAGTCCCCTTCTCTCTGTTCTTGGGAAGTTGGCTGAGCCACAATGGGGTCTCAGATGAAGGCCCTGTGCTGGGGACACACATATGCTTCACAGGAGATGAGGCCTGACCTCTACCTCCTGGGCTCAACTGTCGTGATGATGCTGTGTGCGGGCTTGGTGGTCGCCCCACCTGCCCCTCAGGGTCCTGCTACCCAGGCAATGTCATTGCTTCTCCTTCTGCAGCTTTGTGGTGTGAGGGTGGAAGCCATTTTGTGTGTGAGAAATGAGGCCTATGGTGGGCTGGCTCGTCCCCTGTGCCCAGATGGGAATGTGTGGGACCTTAATGGCTGCCACTTTTGCTCCTGTGGTAGGCTCACAGCTGGTACCCACAGTTGTTGACCTTGGCCTGGCACTCATGAGCAGGTGACTATTATCTTGAAGGCTGGGCCCGGCTGCTAGCTGCTCTGCTGATGAGTCAGGTGGCCCAGAGTTCCCAGGCTGACTGGCCACCTGATCAGTGAGGGCCAGCATGGTCTGTTTGCATGTTGGGCCATCAGCTCTGAGTGGCCCCTGCTGCCTCTGGACTTTCTGTGTCCTTGCTAGGGGACAGTGGAGATGGTGGGGACCATGGAGGTCTGGAAACCATGGGTGAAGCTGGTCCTATGAAGCTGGTGAGGTGTAGAGTAGACACAGGCCAAGTGCAACTTCTCCTGCACACTTTGACCTTTCTACAGGCTTCCATGTCCCCAGGAGTCTCTATAATACCCCTCCCCCATGGAGGCCTGGACAGCTTCTTGCTTGGGTAGACAGCATGGGCCCTGAGAAGGTGTGTACTTTTTGGCAGGGACATCAGAATTTACTGGGCCAGTGGTCCCCACAGTAGCTGAAGGCCATGGATCTATCAGGCCTGGAACTCTCTGAGGGATTTTCCTGTACAAGGGAAGACTCCAGAAGGGCTGTTGGACAATGGGGCCAGGCAGCGTCTGTGGTTATAGTCTGGGATCATCAGTACCTAGGAAGTGTTACTGGGAGGGTCATATCCCATGGTGACAAAGAATGAAACTGTGGAGAGAAGACACAAGGTGCAAGCAAATTTATTTAAAAGTTG